AATTTGAAAGCGAGAACAAAAAATTATATTAAAATATTCTCATTACTGCTAAAGAATTTTAAACATTTAAATAACTTATATTTCAAAGAAACATAAAAAGTATTTAGACTAAACAATAATAGATATACTAAATACAACAACTTGTAGAATGTAAGGAAAATGAAACTTGAAGATAAATTATTTGCATAAAAGCTTATTACTTGAGAGAAAAGCCTAAAATTAATGAACTAAATCTCTAACTGCAAAAAAAAAAAAAAAAAAAAATCCAAGTTAGGAAAATGACAGAACCCCTTCACAAAGTAGAAGAAAGCTGATAATAATGAAGTCTAACAGAAATCAGGGAAATAGAAAAATAAGACAGTGGAGAAGATTAACAAAGATAAATGTATATTCATTAACTAATAATAAATGAGCAAACTTCTAAGATTAAGAACAAAATAAAACACACAAATAGTGAACACACAGAATGAAAAGGAGACAGAATTATAGCCAAAACTAATTAGAAAAGAAAATGAGACTGCTATCAAAACATTATACCATGAAAATTACAAATTTAAATGAAACGAGCAATTTCCTAGAAAATATACAACTTCCTATAACTGAATAAGAAGAAACAAAACCCTCAATAGTTCTTCAAGTATGAAAGGAAGTTAATCAGTAAAATTTCTTCCTGTAGAGAAAACTCTAAGCCCAAATAGTTTACAAGATAGTCTACCAAATGTTGAAGTAAAACACTGTTCCAAACTTACACAAACTCCTAGAGATCAGAGACAGGGAATGATCCAGAGTGTTCATTGAGGCCTGTGTAATCTCAATTATAAGAGCAAACAAGACGTGTGGGAGAAAGGAAAATCACACGCCAGTCTCCCTTGTGAATATAGAGCTGTAAGTTCTAATTGAAGTATTAGCAGAACTCAATTCAACTGTGTATAAAAAGATAACATGTATATGTGGGGCAAACTGGAAGAGGGTGATGAGGGAAGTTTATCCCATGAATGCAGGAGTTGTTCATCATTTTAAAAATTTCTAAAAATGTCATTCATTTATCACATTAAAAGTGAAAACCTTTATGATCATCTTAGTAGGTGCAGACATCTAGTAAAGGTCAGTAACATTCATGATTAGAAAGAATACTCTTAGCAAATTAGGAATAGAAGAGAATTTTGAACTATTTTAATTTGAAAAACAGTATGTATAGAAAACCTGCAGCTTTATTTATAAAACTCACAAACAAGCAATCTGAACAACATATTGCTTTGGCATATATACATATTTGAGATAAAATAATTTGTTAAGGAAACAAGAGACTGATAAACACCAAGTGCAGCCGAGTGGTTTATTTATTTATTTACATATACTAGTTTTTTAAGTAAGTGAGCTTAGGATAGTAAAGACATTCGTGTAGCCTCTTAAAACCTGAGTTAAAAACAATTTGACTGTCAAAAAGAAATACAGATTTTATCTTCAGTCAAAATTCATTTTGTTACTTTCCTTAACAGCCTAGATGTAAGACTGAGGAAGGAGACCAGTGTGTTAATCCAGTGTTACGTATCTTTAACTCCAGTGCAGCAGGTAGATCAGGAGTTAAGTGAAGGTGTTGGCAAGAGTGGTTGAAACATGGATTTGTGAGATCCCAGATGGATGCAAAAGGAAGTGAATTTTTAAGCACAAGAGGAAAGAGAGCAGCAAGGATAGGAGATCGTGATCTGAGAGTAGACTTAAAGCATGAAGATTTGTGAAATGAAGCTACTTATGGCCATTGGATTTATTTGCTGAAGTGAGGGAGATCTGAAGATCTTTCAAGTTAACTAGTCAAAGAATTGTGCGCTGCTGTGATCAGTGTTTTCCACGTGGGTAATGGGGTCATTCAGAATGGTGGCAAGAGTCATAGAAAGATACTTTCTCCTCTTGTAAATAAAACAGCATAGATCAGTTGGCAGAACTCATAAGTGCCCAAGATAGGGGAACAGACTTTGGAAAACTGATACAATTTCTTTGGTGTGTCTGAGGACAGGAGTCTTTTGTTACAAAGCCTCCACCCCCACCGCCATGCCTCTTTGCTTTGCTAATCCACTGCTTTGCTCCTGGGAATGATATGTATTAACCAGCCAGACCATGTGCCCTTCCCTTCCTGCTGTCTCCTGTTAATCTATTTAAGTTTTGTGATCTGCACTAATTGGCACATATTAGATTTCTTCCTGGCTTTCTTCAGCCTTCAGCATGCACTAGACAAAGCCATTGAACGGAATATTCTAATATCACATCTCTTCTCTCTTTTGAAGCCTCTCTACAAAATGTAGGTTGATAATATGATCAAAAGTTAATAATCAAAGTTTACATGATTTTCTTTTTTAGCTTATTTTAATTTTCCATTTCCCTCAGTGATTAAGACTGTATGCCCTCCAACATCATTTACAGAGGAGTTTTTATCTTTTTTCCTAAGTATCGTCATGCCTAACAGATTTCCATAACCTTTGTATTCTTTTAATAATTTGTGTTGTGGTTAACTTGTAGATGGAAAACTAGACAACTTTCCCATTAGAATGTGCCTATGTCTCCTCAAGAGATTGGAGAGATTACTGCTCCATGCTTCTAGGAAATATCTGCAGCTATCCTGCTGCTATGCAAGATTTTACTGGTGCTGCTGTCATACTGTCCGAACCATTCCCACTGGTCCTAGAGTGACAGAGTAGTTATTTAACCTAAATCTCATCAAGGAGTGGTTAAATCTATGTCCGAGCAGACATGGATTTTAGACAGATTTCTACTGAGAACTATCGTGAATTCAGTGTTGCTCAGTATTTACATTACCACCCTAAAATAAAGGAACCATTCACCTGTCGGTTTTTATGGAAAATGCCACAAAGATATTGCAAGTAATTTGGTGGAAAGATGAAAACTTCATGTTTTGTAATTCAACCTTGATATTAGAAAGAACAAATAAATCCAATATAGTCACGCTTACCTCAAAGACATATGTCGGCTTTTAAAATTATATTTAAACAATAAATTAGAAATATCAGAATATATAATGATATTTTGTTTCTTCTGCTTATATTTATGTGTCAGTAAAGAAGAAAGTTTGCCACAGGTAGACATGATATAGTGAAGAATATAAAAGGAATTACTAGGACTCAGTGTTTAGTAAGTACAGAAATTAAAACAAAGTTAAATCTATTCCCATCTGATTTATATTTATGAAAACTTGAGCAAAAAAAGTTGATATATTTCATTAATGAGCAGTGAAAATAAGTAATGCTGTTATTGAAATAGTACTTCTGATTAAAATCCCCAGAAAGAAAAACTGTACAATGAAGGAATATGAGGATTAGAATGAAATTTTAAAAAGACATAGATAAAGGAACTGAAACTACTTCTTAAGCTTCCCCTTTAAGGAAAGCCCAGAAAGACTTGAGGGTAGCTTTTTAAATATTATTTGTGTGTGTGTGTGTGTGTGTTTAACATACAGTAATTACTTTTTGCCAAAAAAAAAAAATTGAGGAAGACTAAAAAAGGTCAAATCACTGTTTTTAATTGACACAGTGAAAAACAAAATGATATTAATTGTTATAATCAATATTATCTTCCCCTCCTCTTCCTCCTCCTCCATCTCCTCCATCATCATCATCATCATGTGGCTTAAACCAGTAATCAGTTTTTTTCTTTCTCTTGATTCTCATTGCCTGGGCTCAGCTAAGCAGTTCTCTCTGGCTCCATGTGGAGCTGTCTGGGTCTGCAGTGTCCTGAATGTGACTTGCTTTGGGCTGAGACCTCATCTAGGCCTGAGAGCCCGAGCACCTCTGTGCTCTTCAGTGTGCTCCATGTCATGTAGGCTTCTCTCAGGGGAGCAACAGAGTCCAGAAGAGAGTTCAAAAACTATCAAAAGCTGCCTGGCATCTTAGTCCTAGCCTCAGAGTCGCATAGCATCACTTCTGCTGTATTCTGTGGCTCACAGGAAGTCACAGGGCAAGTCCAGATCAACAAGGAGTAGCAAAAGTCTCCATTTTTTAACGACAAAGTCACACGGCAAAAGAGAGCATGTGGGATGAGAAATGTTGTTGCAGCCATCTTTGGAAGTAATCTCTGCCACGTGTTACAAAAGAAGTTAGAAGCAGCTCCCTGTGTGTACATGTGAAAAGATATCCAAGATACATTGCTATGTGAGAAAAGCTGGGTAAAAAACAGACTGTATAACGTACTAATAATTATCAGTGTTAGGAAGTGAGGGAAAATAATATATTTGTATTTTATTTGTATATTTTAGAAGTCTCTGAAACACACCCAGCCATAACAGTGGGTATCTGTTGAGGTTGAAAATTTGGCGACTAGAGGACATAGTGAGAGGCTTTTCACTGTAAATGTTACTACACATTTAAAAACTAATTCGAATCTTCTCAAAAAGTAACTTCTGTAGCTAAAAAATTCGGTTCTATGGTTGAACTTTAACTGTAGTTCCATATTAGAATTTGGAATCTCAGCATTTAAAAGAATTTAGATGTCATTTAGTCCTATCATTCTGCATTATTTAAAGTAAGAATCTACATGGTTTATCTGAAATTCAAATTTAACTGGGTATCCTATATTTTTAAAAATTTTATTGAGGTACAATGTAAAAAAAAAAAATAAGAATCTAGTCTATTGATTTCCTAAAGTGTGGTCATTGAACTTATCTGTGAAAAATCACCTCTAAGATAGTGAGTTCTGTTGCATAACCATTTTAAAACACTCCAACCAGAATTTTTTATTTTTAAGTAACCTATCTTAATTGAATTAACTGAGTTGCTGATTCACAAGACACACTATTTAACAGAGGAATTGATACAACAGTTTTATGACATCTTTCTATATTTCACATTTTATTGAATCATAATTTAAAATAATTTTATATCTAGCTTTATCTAAAACATATGTATTTGAAATATTGCAATCTGATTATTGAAAAAAATTGGACGAACCAAAGCTATTAAGAATAATATTTCTAAAGGTATTTTTCTTTTTAGATTACTGTGCCATGCTATGAAGGACCATATAGTTCGTGTTGCAAATGAAGCTGAGTTTATTTTGAACAGACAGAGAGCCGAAGATGTACATAAACATGCAGAGTTTGAGGTAAGGTTTTGGGAGTACACTAAATTTTGCATTTCTGTTATAAGCCAAAAATCACCTATCTGTGACCTTACATAAGAATGTTTTTTAAAAGGAAAATTTCACTGAAGGCATTTCTGTTCCTGTTTTTTAAAAGCTTTAGTAAATGTCAAACACAGAGTACTAATTTATTTTCACCCCATTTACAGCATGAAAACATTCCTTCTGCCCTATATGTGCCTAACCATTTGGTAGACTGAAGTTATTCTAACCTACTCAAGAGTAAATGCAAAAAATAATTTATAATGCAACAATTTTAGTTATTTTAAGCTAGCAGATATTTACACACCAATAGGTCGATATGAGTATATGATACAGTTATATGAATAAACTCATATAACATTCAAAAAAATCTTTCAATTTCTATGTTTTATGTATAACAGTTATTAATTATTTCAGTTTATTCCATTTACAAGACAAAATAGGTTCCAGAAATATTTATGCGCCCTGGTGTTTGGCTTACGTTGGGCTTGAAAGTAATAAATGACCCACCAATTTATTCTCCTGATACAACAGGCTAACAAGTATGGTGTAGCTGGAAATCAGAGCCCACAATTCTAGTTTTGATGAGGTTTTTATCTCAGTAAAGCAGCTCTGTGAGTCATACACGTTGATAGACTGTGTCTAGTGATCTCTGACCTAGCTAGCTGAAAAGCATGAGACAGGAAAATAGCCGCTGTTACTTTCAAACACATGACCTCTGCTTCATTCGGTCAGAAGAGGCACGAGACAAGCAGGCACTTGTCTTGTGAAATTGCAGCAACCATATTCTGGAAAAGATACCAGATATTTTAAACTTCAATAAAAGTATAGTGATCTTTAAGTGTCTATCAAAGTGAAGTTTCGTAGTAGTAAATAAGATTTGGAATCTCAACTGAATTCCCTGCAGGATCAGTTTTGAGTGTCTGTACTTCCACTAAGAAAATCAAGATATTTTGTGGGGATATAAGCAGATCAATATTTGTTATGTGGAAACATTTAAAGTAGATTTTCAAGTGGTTGGATATTAGTTATGAGCTTTAACACATGTTTAACCAAGGTGACATTAGGCCAAGGGCAGTTTCTCAACCGTTTTTGTTGTTGTTATCAATTCCCTAGGAGTCCTTTTAGACATTTTGCCTAATTGGCCACTCATCCCAAAGAAATTTTATAATACCACCCATAGGCTGCGCATCTGTTTTTGTACTTACGTACATTTGTGTTTTATGTACTGAAATAACAATATTTGTATCCCCCACGCAACACACACCAATTTTTCACTCTTAGGAATGAGATTACCCTCATTGTGGGTCAACTCCCAAGGTGATAAGTGGTTTCCGAGGAGACATGAAGACTTAGTGTTTTTTAGATTTTATATACATAAAATATAATATTAACATAAATCTAATTTTGATTGTATGCCAATGTTATTTGATGATTGTACCTTATTTTTTTAACCTGAATGTTTCTATCTCTTCTTTTTGGGTTAGAGCTGTTGATGTGTGTGTGTGGTTTACACAAAGATATCCCTTTTAAATTGTAAAAGATTTTACAAGTCAGGACATTTTGCTAGAACTTTTGGAGGAATTTTTCTATCCCACATATCAGCCTATAATTAGGAAGAAAAGTATATTTGATATTAGATGGGTACTTCACAGTTAAGTTTTTTTAGTTAGCTACTGTAATTGTTAAGGAAGAAAAATGAAAATTTCATTTTACTCTCCAGTGAACTAATGAAATATTAAGCTCATTACTGAGGCAGATCATTGTACTAATTGGTGATTCCCTGTACAAAAAGATAAATTGGAAAATGAATTAATCCTTCTTAGATTACTGTAGGGTTATTTCTCCAGAAGAGATTACTTGTGGTAGTAGTGTATATCAATAGATAATGGGAGGAATATGTTCAAGTGCCTTCCATGAAATAGATTTTTGCATAGTAATGATGAATGTGAACTAGTTCTATTTATTTTATCAGATGTATGAGACTTTTTTCTTCCTAGTTATATTACTTGTATTACAAGTTTATTAATGTTAAAAGTTATAGTCACACTACTCTGCATTTATTGTAGTTTTCTTTATAAAAACTATAATAAAAAGAACCAAATTTATAATTAATGTTCCTCTTCATATTTACATGAAATATTTTTAATGCAAAAAATGATCCATTGATCAACAGTGTTGCTAACAAATGTAAGAATGAATACACATCAGACAGCTGACATGACAACTGATAATTATGGGAAAAGGGAGGTAAGAATAAGGTTGTAGTTCTCATGAAACTGTTTGAACATATTACATTTTAAGAATGTGGAGAGATCGTAGAAAAAATCTTGTCTCAGCTCCTCATTTACAAATATGAAACTGAGTACATTAAAATATATGGAGTTTGTGTATTTTGTGAATTAAAATCCAGGTCTACTGAATTCCTAAATGACTACATTTTCTTCTGTATCACATTACCATTCATGAAATGGAAAACTATAAATTAAGTGACAGATTTTTGATTCATATGTAATTATCGGCAACATGCCTCTTATTTTAAGTGAGATATACTGTATTGGCTTGATAAACAAGTAGGTTTACATTTATAGTAAATATTTGTGCTTCTAAAATACATAAAAATTAGATTCTCAGAATTGGAAGAAACCGTAAGTCTTTAATTACTTCAATATTACTCAAATTATTTTACATGTACTTTAGAAAGAGCACTTTTTATATTTGAAAGGTGACAATATGTATTCTTTAGAACAAAATATCAAAAGATTACATTATTTGAGTTTTAAAAAATTGAATTCCTGTTACCCTTTAACTTAGATGTATATCATCCTTACTTATACGCAGTAAAAAGTTTATTATTGTGCATCGTTTGTATTTCTTTATAGTCACAGTGTGCCCAGTATGCTGCTGATAGAAGAGAGGAAGAAAAGATGTGTGACCATCTGATCAGTGCTGCAAAACATCGAGACCATGTAACAGCAAATCAGCTGAAACAGAAGATTCTCAATATTCTCACAAATAAACATGGTGCTTGGGGAGCAGTTTCTCATAGGTGAGTTATAATAAATTAGAGTAAATAACGATTCATAGGTTAATTATAATAGTTGATAATAAAAAAATGGCTACAAATTTAAAAGTCATTTAAAAATATAATTTAAAATATAAAAAAATTAATTGAAATTTTTCCTGAAATCTTTAATAATTCTTCATCAGAAGAGTTTAAGGGAAAATCTAAACTTTTTATAGTAGCTACAAGGGAGTTATGTCTACTTTATAATAATATGCAACATAATACAAAATACGGTTAGGCAAGTATTTTAGTCTACTGTCTTTCATATGTAACACGGATGTTTAGGTATAAGAAGTGACTCTTTTTAAAAAAGAATCTTTTAGAGTCAACTCGTCCTATTTATTAAAGTTGTATCATTCTTTTTTATACAGAAGCATATATAAGCATATACATAGAGAAGTAATATGTTCTTCTAAAAAGCTTTCTTTCGTAATTTTCTATTCAGTCTTACCAAGGGAAGATTTTCATCTCAAATATGGTTGTTTATGGTAATGTAGTACAACTAAAACTAAAATTTGGTTGTTTATAAATCACAAATGTTCTCCCTAAAGTTTTGTGGACATATAATTATTTTTGTTGTTCTTGTTGTTGTTATCTGTACAATGAAGTTTTCTGGAAAACTAGTAGTGAAACAGGTCAGTATATTTAGATTGCTGATGTTCTTCCTTTTATATTTTTATTTTATTTGACCCCACTAAATGTTTCTATTAAATCTCTGTTTGGCAGAGTTTATTAAATCTCTGTTTGACAGAGTTGGCTGGTGAAATGTAAACAGGACACTACTAAGAAGAGCCTTGGTAAAAATGATTCTGTTGACCGGGTGCAGTGGCTCACGCCTGTAATCCCAGCACTTTGGGAGGCCGAGGCGGGTGGATCACCTGAGGTCAGGAGTTTGACACCAACCTGGCCAACATGGTGAAACTCCGTCTCTACTAATTTATAAAAATTAGCCAGGCGTGGTGGTGGGCGCCTGTAATTGTAGCTACTCAGGAGGCTGAAGCACAAGAATTGCTTGAACCCAGGAGGCGGAGGTTGCAGTGAGCCAAGATTGTGCCACAGAACTCCAGCCTGGGTGACAGAATGAGACTTTGTCAGTTAGAGAAAAACACCTAGAATATGAGTAGGATGGTATTTAACCAACTTCCTGGGATTATGAGTGTAAGATAGATTTTTTTAAACTTTATTATTTTGGGATTTAAGGTAAAATTATATGTCTTTAAAATAGTCAACACTTAATATTTATCACAATAATAGCAATAACCCATGACCTCTAACATTTATTATTTGTTATGTGCTAGGTACCATACTAAGAACTTTACATGGATTCTTTCCTTTATCCTTGAACATCTTTATTAAGGGTGACATTGAGGTGTTCTCCATTTTACCAGGAAAAACCTGAAGCTGAAAGAGGTTAAATAAAACTTACATAGTATCACACTGCTTGTACAAATAGAGGCAGATTGTATCAGTCAGGATGCTCCAGAGATATTTATATTCATTAAATAAATTTATTTTAAGGAATTTGTTCGTGAGATCATGGGAGCTGGTAAGTCTGAAATCTGTAGGACAGGCTGGCAGGCTAGAAACTCAGGCAAGATTTCTGTGTTACAGCCTTGAGGCAGAATTTCTTCTCCAGGAAACCTCAGCTTTTGCTAAGGCCTTTGGTTGATTGGATGAGCCTTTCCCACATTCTTGAGGGTAATATCCTTTACTTAAAGTTAACTGACTGTAGATGTTAATCATATCTACAAAATACCTCCACAGCAACAGTTAGACTAATGTTTGACCGAACAACTGGGCATTATAGCCTAGCCAAGTTGACATAAAATTTAACCATTACACACACTAACAATAACCTGAGCGTTTTACCATCTGCAGACCTTGTCTCCCTTTTGTGTTATCTGAATTGGGTTTATCTCTTAATACTTACTTATATGTAGTCAGGACTGTAACATTATATTGCTAGTAACGCAGCTGGTATGATTCAGGATATTGCCTTAGCTATATAAAGCAGTACATGGTTTGGGTTTTAATTATTTCCTTATGTAATTAGAATACAGCTAAAGGACAGTGACCTCCGTAGTAGCAGTCATGTGGTATCATGTCAGATGCATCCTGTGCTAGCTGGTCAACAACCTTTCTGACCTCTCGTTAGACTGACAGAAAGCATGGCCTGAGCCCTCAGAAGAGCAGGCGTCTTCTTTCCTGCACATTAGTTTCTGCCAACTATCTGAAAAAAAACCCACAATGTTTTTATGATCATTTACTAACTGTGTCACTGAACTCTAAACCTTTAAGCATAGGTTTTGTTCTGTTTAATCCTCCTTAGTATTTTATTAACTAATAGGGCTCAGCTAATATCATTGGACCTCTTCTCTTTTCTGTCTTATTCACTCTCTAGACAATTTTATCTAGTCCCATGACTTAAAAATACTACTAGTATGTTGATAACTCCAAAATTTATTATTGCAAGTCCAGATCTCTCCCATCTCCAGCTCTGTATATTCATCTGTCCACTTGGCGTCTTCTACTTGATTATCTAATAGTCATCTCACACCTAACATATGAAAACTGAGCTTCTAATATTTTCTTCCAAACCAGTTTCTCGTATATTTTTCTCCATCTCAGCCAAAGGCAACTCCATTCTTACTGTTCCCGAGGCCATAAATGTTGCTCCGTCCTTGACTGCTGTTTACACATCCCACACTGAACCCTTCAGCAAATCTTACTGACACTGCAACAAAACATATCCAGCTTTGACTGCTTCTCACCATTACCTTGGATCACCTTAGTCCAAGCCATATCATTCTCACTTGACTTATTGTAACAGCATGATGTATAGTCTTATTTTTATATTTCACTTGACTTATTGTACCAGCATGATATATAGTCTTTCTTTTTATATTTTCCCGTCCTCCTAAAGTCCATCCTCAGCACAACAGCCTGAGTGACTCTTGTTAAAATGTAAATCCCTCTGCTCCTGTGCTTAGAAATCTCCACAGCTATACTATGCCAGACTGTAACCACTAGTCATGTGTGGCTATTCAAATTTAATTAATTATAATTAAATTTAATTAAAATTCTGATGCCTCAGTTGCACTAGCCAAATTTCAAGTACTCAGTAGCTACATGTGGCTGGTGGCTAACGTAGTAGATGTCACAGAACCTTTCCGTCATTGCAGAAAGTTCTTTTGAACACTTGCTGCAGAGGTTTACCATTCACTGAGGGGAGAAATAAGATCTCATAGTGACTTATTAGGCCCTACATGGTTTAGTCTCTGTTAACTCTTTAACCTGTCTCCCAGTACTCTCCTCTTGGTTCTTTTTGTTATGGTCACCCTGGCTTCTTTCTTGCACGTCATGTTTGCTCTGTTTAGAATACTTTCGCAAACTTTTACATTTTCTTCAGGCATTAATTCCAAATGATACCATCTCAAAAAAAAAAAAAATCCTTCTCTAGCCACTCTGTCTAAAATTGCACTTCTTCCTTCAAATATTTTATATTGTATTTCCCTGCTTTTCAACATCTATTACTTTGATACTTAAATTTCATATATTATACTTAAATATTACTTTTATTGTTTTGTTTTCCAATAGCATGTAAGCTTCATAATGGAATAGATTTTTTGCTCTTTTATCCATAATTGTGTCCCCAGCACCCAGAATAAGCCTTGATGCATAGTAGGTAGCAAAAAATTTGTGAACAAATTAATGAATAAATACTTTGTGTATGCCCTTTTTTTGTCAGTGACAATACCTATCATGGAATAATAGAAAATAAACTAGTTCATTGGGAATAATTTTATATTTTATTTATCTTTATTAAATGCCAAAAAGTACTTATCCCTGCATGAAACCAAAGTGTTAGAGCCAGCATCCACCTAAAACAGTTGTTTACAAATCCAGTAACATTTTACATAGAAAAATTTATATATTCTAACTGGACTCACAAGTTCCTCAAAAAGACAAGAAAATGTTTTAACAGCAAAAGTTACTTTTGAATGCTGTTATTCTGTGAATGTTACAGATTTGGTTTTTATATAAATTATCAACTTCTATATATTATACAGTGTATGTTTCTACTACAGAATAATGCTCTCAACTTGCAAATGCAAGAAAAATGTGTGGCTATATTTTGCAGGCTAATCCCATGGGATTAATACAATTGTGCATGTAAGAATATTTATGTCATACTTAGGAGTAACTGAAAAATATTCTTCCATAGTAGAGTGACCATTGATTTTTTTGTTTGGAGTTCATCTTACTGAACTTCTAAACTGTATTTGACAGTCTTCTATGAACTCTATTCTTCTGACCTCTTTTGTTTCACTGTTACATCTGACCTCACATCCTGCCATGCATCTTCTCAGCCCATGGCTCACTCCACCGCAGCCACCCTGGCTTCTGTCTGTTTTGTATACAGGCCAAGCACTTCCTCCTTTTGTATGCTGTTCCTTCTGTATGATATACTCAGATAGGTCTTTGCACAAGTGTTTCCTCATTAGAGTGGACTTCTCTGACCATTCTATCAAAAATTGCACACCGCATTTTTCCCTTCGTCACTCCCTCAATTTTCAATGCTTTAATCTTCCTCATAGCACCTATCACTTGACATATAATTTAGTGTTTAAGTATTTTTTACCTGATATTATGGACTCTCATTTACTGGTATATCCCCAGTGCATAGAACTTTGCATATAATAATTGTTCAACACATAATTTAAAAATTAATGAATCCGTGAAAGTTTCCATACACATGTATCATGGCACTGTGTGTAGATGGCATGTAAGCTAGGTTTGATAAAATAATCTTTCCACATAGAATTTGAGCTTTATAATCAACATTAAGAGCTCAATTACTTTCTAGCTGTGTGACTTGTAAGCTATGTAATCTCGAACAAAGAGATGTTTTTGTTTTTCTTCTTTTTCGTTGTTTTTTTAACTTTTAAGTTCAGTGGTACATGTGTAGGTTTGTTACATAG